CGGTCGAGGACCCAACCGCCATAACCTTTAACCACCGTGCGAACACGCTACCCGATCCACTATCGAATGACGGTAATGACGATCGACGGTGGCCCACCACGACGAGGATGAGGGCCGCGTGCCCCGCGGCCCGCCACGATGAGGATGAGGGGGATTGGGGATGCTGAGGATGAGCAGGCCGATGCGGAGGAGTAGGATGGAGAGATAACCCATGTCACATCCGATAAGGACTACAAGAACCGCATCCTGACGAGCGGCTTGAACACCAGCTGCCGCGGCGAGGCGCGGCTGCGCTACGCGAACAAGGATCGATCGATCCAGATCCTGCTTGCGTATCGCTGCCTCCCCATCCCTGCGTCCTTCCCTGACCCCTCTCTTCCACCTACCCCTGCTCCCTAGCCCCCCCCCGTGCCTCCTTACAACCTCCCTCCCACCGCCGCGACCGCCACATCGCAGCGATGTGGCGGTCGCAGCGTAGCGATGTGACATCACTACGCTGCGCGCGCGCGACCATCCATAGTTTGGCTGAGCGCACGCGTTGTCTGTAGTAACTGTAGTAGTTCTGAAGTGTGATCGCCTCGCCTCCTTAGTGTGTATGACTGTTTGAGCGTATGATTGTGGTTTGCCCCATCACCACAGGAGCGGTCGCTGCCGGCGTACGCCATGACGTTCAATCACTTGGCCGAGGCGTTCTACAGAGCGCATGCCGAGGACACGCTTCTCGTGCGTTCAGACTGTTCGCACCCGTGGTTTTGTTTCGGCCCCCCAGCCTGGTCACCTTGGTAGTTTTGTCCCTGGGCCCTGGGCTCCTGGTTGTCATGGGCTCTGGTTGGTCCGCTTCCATGGTTCCACTTGGGTTGCCTGGGCTTCTCTGTCAGAACGCGGCGTGAGCGTGTCATTTGCATGCAGGACCCCAGTAACATATATGTGCAGGCAGCCCTCAAGGAGGGCATCCGGGCGCGGATGATCAAGTTCGATACTCCGCCATTTGCAGTAGAGTGGTCTTGCAATTTTCAACCTGCATCACCAGAGCAGTCGCCCGACTTTCGTGCTGAAGCTCGAAGCCGCCTGGTTCGCGCACGCGGAGCAGCAGCAGATCCCGGCGTCGGGCAACGCGGCGCTGTGCAACCAGAAGTACGAGGAGCTCGTGGAGAAGAAGCTGAAAGATGGGATCAAGACGCCCGACATACGGAGTAGCCAGATCCATTCATGGAAACATGTTTGCAGTACCAAGTCGTTCGCGCATAACTTGAAACGGTTTGGCGTGCTGGGCGCAGTTTGTTGAATGGACCCGTTTGTATGCGAACTTTTTGGATGAGTCCGTCAACAATTTCACAGTGATCAACGCGATGCACTCCCGGGCTCTCATCGCGATCGCCGAGCTGAGCAAATACTGGCCCAAGGCGACGGTTGGGAAGGTCATCCTCGAGGGTCTGAAGTTCTGTGTTCCCCCCCCGAGAAGCTCTCTGCGAAGCAGAGCGTCGGCCAGCGGCGTATCCCGTGGATCTTCCAGGCGGGGGCCCGCCCGAGTCCGATGCCGACGTCGCGTCGTGACGTTGGCTTTCCGACCGATGTCGCCGATGATGTCGACGAGTCGACGCGTCGACGATGATGTTATCGAGTTATCGAGTTATCGACGGCCGAACAAAGCTCATGATGTGCGATCCGACGTCTGACGTCAGACGATTCGACGGTCCATCTGCCATCCGATCGTCGCACCGTCGTGAGCGATCGGCCTGTCGTTTTTTGATTGACTCTGACGTCAATCAGATCAGCGAGTCGACCTATGGATCTGTCCGAGAGGCGCCGTCGCAGCGGACGGGCGAAATTTTCAAGCTCATCAGCGCGGTGATCGGTGATTCTGTTGCGGTTAAGAAGCTCAGCGAGATGTATACGAAGGAGCAGGAGCTAGCCAGCGCTCAGGTTGAGAAGGCAGATGCTGCTGCCAGAGCCGCTGCGGACAAGCTGCGTGAGATCGGCGGCGTCGATAAGTCAGGTGATGCTGGTGGCGTGGAGCCCGTGGAGTCCCCTGCTAAGAAGCGTCGCAAGGGAAAGGGCAAGGGTAAGGGTCGTGGGCAGCATTGGCAGCATCAGAGTTCGGGCGCGTTGGTCACCGCGGAGCAGTTCGTGTCCATGACGCAGCCAGTCGCCCTGGGCGACAAGGTAACCGAGCGCACTACGACAGTTGTGGATGACATGCTGCGCTCGGTCGAGTACCACTGCCGCAACGCACCCGACGCCTGCGCCGACAAGGTCCGAGGCACCGTCGCGCCGCTATGTCTGCAGTTCGTGTTCACGAAGAACGTCGCCTTGAACGCCAAGCTCGTCAAGGCCTACAGTAAGTTCCGGGAGGAGGCCGTGACCCTCATGAAGCAGAGCTGTCCTCAGGATGTTGATCCGAGACCTTCTGCATCGAGATTTGATACCGCGGCGTCGGCCGCTGAGTCTTTGGCGGAGTTTGCCGCGACGGACCCCGAGCGTCTTGCGCAGGACCTGGTTGCTCGTTGCAGCCGCCCCGTCGAGGAGACCGTCGGCGGCGACGATGGCGACCTCGCGATCGAGGACGTCGAGGCGCTTGTGTCGGGCTCGCCCGCTGCAGTCGGCCAGTGCGCGATCGACAATGCCCACCTGCCGATTGCGATGCACTCGCCGCTCGGGGAGATCATGCGCGCCGCCGCCAAGATCGACAGCTTCGACATGGCCGCGATGGCCACCGTGCTCGACCAGCACCTGCCGTTCGCATGGTTCGAGGCAATATCCGCAGCATCGGCGTTTGCGGCCAAGGCGGGCTCGCCGCCAAGCTTCGCCGCGTCGATCTTCCCGACCCGCGCCGCGCTGGAGGGCTTCATCAGGATGCGCGCGTGCTACGTGGTGACCACCCTCTCGTCGCAGCTCGACATGGGGAAGCTGGCGGATGCGCTCAAGCCTGGCATGCTGGTTCTCAAGGAGGCCTTCGTCACGAACAAGGGGATGCTCGCCGAGTCTGCTTTCGCAACGGTCGTCGGCCTCGAAGCCTCCACCAATGACGTGGCCATGTGGACGGTGCTATGGGAATCCGTGCTGGCAACTTCATCGAGACAGAGCTTCTCGGACGTGGTCAAGGCCGCGAAGGACGCCGTCAACGCACAGGCTGAGTACGTCCAGCAGTTGGCGACGACGCCCGCGGCGGCGGCGATCGCCCCGATCGCGGATTCCGACGGTGCCGCAGCTGTCCCCGCTGCTCTTGCGCAGCCCGTGCAGAAGGGCGGCGCAGCCGTCGCCAGTGGCGGGGCGCCTCTCGCCCCCATGGTGCCGGCTGGTGCGCCGATTGTGGGTGCTCGCGTCGACAGCTGCATCGAGGTCCGCGCGAGCGATGTGTGCAACTTCTTCACCCCGCAGCTCCTCGCGTCGGAGACGGCGCTGAATAAGTCCGAGACGTCCAAGACCCTCGGCGTCGCTGTGGACGGCCTTCTTCTGCAGGCGGTGGAGCGGTCGCTCGAGGCTTTGATCCGGGAGATGTTTCGAGAGGACGGCTGCTTCTGTTGCGCGATGGGCCCTGCTAACCAGACGCCGCAGCCGTTGGCCAACTGCGGCGGCCTGCAGGGGTTCAGCTGCGTCTCGCTGTCCATCGACGAGAGGAACAAGAGCTCGCTGATCTGCCCCCCCCCCCCCCCCCCCCCCCACACGGATGGCATGGAGGGCGTCGCGTCGAGCGACGAGGTGCACATGTTCAAACCCACCTCACCTCATACATGCACCTGCCATCATCATTGCACGCCATCTCCATCTCCCTCCCCTCACTCCTCCTCCGCCTCCTCCTTCCCCCTCTTCCTCTTCTCCGCCGCCTCCTCATACTCTCCTCCTCCTCCTCCTCTCCTCTTCCTCCCTCCTCCTCCTCCTCCTCCTCCCCCCCCCCCCCCATCTTCGCGGCCTCATCTTCATCCTCGGCCCTCCACCTACCCCCCTCCAGTGGAGGGGGGTGGGTTTCCACGCATGCCCCTCCCCTGCCGCATCTCCTCGCCCGCCGCGAGAGGTGCGGCTGCGCTTCCGGTGCGTCGGCCCGGCGAGCCTCGTCCGCAAGGGCGCAGCGGCGTTCGCCCTGCGCGAGGCGCGGCGTGGCGACGACGACGCGTCTCGACGGCGTCATCGTCGGCCGCCGTGGTCGCGGTCGGTCTCCCGTCTCCTCACTCGCCCCTCCTGATCCCTCCTCCTCTTCCGCCCTCCTCCTTCTCCTCCCTCCTCCCCCCTCCTTCCACCGTGGTCGGCCCCCTCTCCTCCCCCCTCCCCTTCCTCCTGCTCCTCGGAGTCCTCGTCCCTGGTCCCTCGACTCGCCGCCGCCTCCACCGCCCTCCCTCGGGCCCCTTCTCGAGTCGGTCGTCTGACATTCTGAGTCGACGGGGTCGCCGCTCGCCGCTCGCCGTCGACGTCTTCGTCAGCGTCGTCGGTTCGTCGGCTCGTCGACTCGCACTCGTCAACCGCCGCCGGCGTCGAGTCGTCGAGTCGTCGCACGTCGCTGAGTCGTAGAGGTTTTCGGGGTGCCGTTCTACATGAACCCGCCTGCGATCTCCAGCCCTGCCCTGGCCCAGTTTCCCAAGCTCGCGCGGGCCGTGAAGGCCGTCGGGGAGGCCGCCGACGCCTCGCTGGTCAACAGCGCGCGCTCCATGACGTGCTACGTCGACCGCGAAGGGCAGGTCGACGCGGTCGACCACTCCGAGGGCGACGAGTACAAGATGGCGCCGTTCACCCTCAGCATTCCGAGGCCCCCAGGGCCCCAGCTGATGACAACGTATGCCGCGACTGTCAGTCCTCCTCTCAGTCCCCCTCCCATCTCACCCCCCTCCCCCTCCTCTTCGCCCTTCCGCCCCGCCTCTCTCAGTGGCCCACCGTCTCCTGTTATCCCATCTCTCGCCTCCTCATCCTCCTCTCAGTGACCCACCCAACGTCGCATCCTCGCACCTCTCCTCCTATCCCATCCGTCTCCTCGTCCTCCTCCTCCTGACCGTGTCCTCATCCCTCCCGAGGCTCGCGTCGAAGCCATCGTGTACGCGCGGCCCCGCGGACAGCGGTGGGATCAGCCCGTTGCGGGGGGCCGCCGAGGCCGAGCGCGCCGCCGAGCAGCGCGTGCAGCTGGCCAAGAAGGGGCCTGGCGGGCTGGCCTCGCTGTTCCCGGTGACCACGGGCGGGGTCGTGGCCGCGCAGGCGGCGCGCGAGGCGCGCGGCGCTGGTAGCGGCCCTGGTGCGTCTGCGAAGCAGAGCGGCGCGCGCGCCAATGGCGGCGACGGCCGCGCGCGCGACAAGCACCTGCTCAAGTAGTTAGGTGCTGCGACGACGACGAAGGACTAAGGATACGCAGTGATGACGGTGAAGAGATGCTGCTGGTGCTATGATTGCGATGGCGCGGGTGATGACGACGACGGCGTCGACGATCTCGCAGCCGCTGTGCCGCGGGGGGTGTGCAACATCTGTCGCGCCAGGCCGACAGGCTGCTTCGCGCCTTACCTCGTCGCCCCATCCCTCCTCCCCCCACTGTCTCTCGACTCCCTCTCTAGTCCCCCCTCGCTCCTCCGCTCTCCAAGTCTCCACCTCCTCCTCATCCCTCTCCTCGTACTCCTCATCATCCTTTCTTTCCTCCTCCTCCTCCTTAGGGACTCCTCCTTACTCCGCCTGTGCCACTGCGATGGATGCAGCCCCCCCCCCCCCCTGGCCGAGAGAGCAGCGAGCCGCGCGCAGGCCTCGCGGCTGCGCGCAAGCGGCGCCGGCGCCACTGCGCGCCGCGCGCTCGCGCCCACCCGGCGGCGGCGAGTGCCGATCAGTTCCCCCCCCCCCCTTCGTGATCTTCTATCCCCCTCGCGTAGCCTCCTGCCTGCCTCTCCTGCTCCTGCTGCTGCTGCTGCGCCTCCTCCTTCCTCCCCTGTGCCTCGTTCTCTCGTCTGCCTCGCCCTCCTCTCCTCGTTTGGGGCCCATCGTCATGTTTCAGGTGGCGGTGTGACGGTGCGACTGAAACATGGCGATGAGTCCCATCGTCATGTTTCAGTCGGAGTCGGAGTTCAGCCTCAACCACTCTCGTCCGACTCGCCCGTCGTCCGTTGCCTCTTGTCCCCGTGACCATCTTCCTCACCATCTGTCTGACCTTGCTGCCTCTCCCTCCAGGCGGCGTGCAGTGTGCAGTGCATGCTCAGTTCAGAAGACATCCTCGAGTGCTGTGGGATCAGCTCAACAGCCTCGATGTCTTTCAGGGTCGACGGCACAGACCGCCCGCCTTCCGCAGTTTCACGTGCCCCACTCGACTGGTGGGCACGTGCGCGGGCCACGAAAGGTGCAGCGATGCGGCCTCCATCATACATCATCGCTGTCTCGTCGTCAGTCAGTCCTCCTCAATTCTTGTGATGGGTCGCAGTGATTGTGATGTAAACGGTGACGGATTCGGTGCCAGATTTTGTAAGTTGTCCAGGGATTCAGTCGACTATGCTCGATGTTGTGAGTGGTTGTGAGTGATTATCGTGAACGTGGTGCGCATCGGTTGTGCATTGGACCTATGTCATATGATGTCGTTATGACATGCAACCGTGTCGTCAGGAGGTCATCCCGCGGTGACCTCCTGACGCGAACTCGGCGTAGTCAATCCTTTACTCTGGACGTCACTAGGGGCGGGGTTCGAACCGGCAGTGACCCCCCCCGCACCCCCCCCGTGTTGGGTGGTTGGTTTTCGAGGGAGAGGGGGGGGGGTTCGAACCAGTAGTGACTCCCCCCCCCGGGTTTTCGAGAGGGGGGGGGTTCGAACCGGTAGCGGCCCCCCCCCGCCCCGGTTTTCTGCAGGGGGGTGGGGGAGTTCCAACCGGTAGTGACCGCGCCCGGCTTTCGAGGGTGAGGGGGGGGGTTCTAACTGGTAGTGACCCCCGCCGGTTTTCCGGAGGGGGGGGGTTAGGGGAGGGAAGGGGTTTTGCCGGGGGAAAGGGGGAGGGGGGGGGTCCAGCAGGGGGGGGATTTTCGGAGGGAGGGGGGGGGGGCCGGGCTCCGGAGGAAAATGGGGGGGAACCTGCCACAGTAAAACGGCGGTGGATGACGCTGTCTCTGATTTCCGAACCCCCTCATAACTGTTAGCGTTATCCTTCATTATTTAGTCGCTTCGCTCATTCCGCCGGCCCATGATGAGGCGCCGCGGTCGATTGGGCGAGAGGTCGTCGGCAGTGCGGAGCTGCAGGGGTCGGCGCATTTTTTTTTTTTTTAAAAAAACCTAACAGCGTAGACTGATAGGTTTCTAGTTGACTCAAAAGAGCTCACAGATCACTCCACAGGGGGGTCTGGGCAGGTGTTGGGGAGTTGCCGGGCGGCAGGGTGCCGGGCTCGTTTTTCACCAACAGTCACACACTTCGTGCTCTTCGCCTTCCCAGAACTCCATTCCCAGGCCACATTCTGAATACCCGGATGCAACAGTCACACACAAAGTGCTTTCTGAGATCCCAGAACGCCATTCCCGGGCCACATTTCTGAATAACCGGATCGCCAACAGTCACACATTCGTGCTCTTTCGACATCCCAGAACGCCATTCCCGGGCAACATGTAAATAACCGATGCAAAACAGTCACACACCTTTCGTGCTCTTCGAGTTTTCCCAGGAATTCCACTCCCGGGCACATTTGGTGCCCGTAGCCAACTTGTTTTAGGCCACTTCGTGTCTTCGAGTTCCAGAACTCCGTTCCCGGGCCACATTTTGAATATGCCCGGAGCAATTGTAGGCCACTTCGTGCTCTTCGAGTTCCCAGAACTCATTCCCGGGCCACTATTTTGATGCCCCGTAAGCAAACTGCAGGCAACTTCGTCCACTTCGTGCTCTCGACTTCCCAGAACTCCCATTCCTGGGCCACATTTTCAGCAGGGGCAAGAGCACGACGAGGAGGAGGACGAGCAAGACCAGGAGGACGAGGACGAGCAGGAGCAGGACGAGGAGCAGGAGGAGCAGGAGAAGAAGGACGAGCAGAGGGAGGAGGAGGACGAGCAAGAGGAGGAGGACGACCAGGAGGAGGAGGACGACCAGGAAGAGGAGGAGGAGGAGGAGGAGGGGAGGGGGAGGAGTACCAGGAGGAGGAGGAGGAGGAGGAGGAGGAGGAGGAGGAGGAAGAGGAGGGAAGAGGAGGACGGATGGAGGAGGACGAGGACGAGACGAGGAGGAGGAGGCGGAGGAGGGGGGGGGGGAGAGTCACCAGGAGGAGGAAGAACGAGACCACCAGGAGGAGGAGGAGGAGGAGCAGGAGAAGGAGGAGGAGGATGAGGAGAGGAGAGGAGGAGGAGGAGGAGGAGGAGGAGGAGGAGAGAACCAGGAGGAGGAGGACGAGCAAGGACGAGGAGGACGAGAACGAGACGACCAGGAAGAGAGGAGAGGGGAGGGGGAGGGGACTACAGGAGGAGAGGAGGAGGAAGGAGGAGGAGGAGGAGGAGGAGGAGGAGGAGGAAGAGGAGGGAAGGAGGACGAGGAGGAGGAGGAGGAGGAGGACGAGGAGGAGGAGGGGGGGGAGAGCACCAGGAGGAGGAGAACGAGGACCACCAGGAGGAGGAGGAGGAGGAGGAGGAGGAGGAGGAGGAGGAGAGAGCACCAGGAGGAGGAGGACGAGCAAGACGAGGAGGACGACAACGAGGACGAGCAGGAGGAAGAGGAGGAGGAGGAGGAGGAGGAGGAGGAGGAGCAGGAGCAGGAGAAAGAGGAGGAGGAGGAGGAGGCAGGCTGAGGCTGAGGCTGTGACTGCGACTGCCGTTGCCGCTGCGACTGTCATCGCGAATGCGACTACGACTGCGAGAACAGCAGAATTCGACAACTGGATTTTCATCTGAATCTTAAGGGGAATGCTTTCAGATATGCTTCTACACATCGCGGAGGGCCGGATGCAACAGTCACACACTTCGTGCTCTTCGAGTTCCCAGAACTCCATTCCTGGGCCACATTTTGGATGCCCGGAGCCAACTCTAGTCCACTTCCTGGTCTTCGAGTTCCCAGAACTCCATTCCCGGGCCACATTTTGAATAGCCAGACGCTTCATAATCCTTCCGCCACAGCCGTGTTTGGTTCAGGACTTGCTAGTGACACTGCAGTCCACTGCATTCAATCGTGCCACTGCACTCATTCACTGCAGTCCACTGAGTTTCGATTGCAATGGCGTTCCCCTGGCCGTACCCCCATGTCCAACGTTCATCCGCAGCCTCTGCTCCGCGAGGCTCGTCCGAAGTGTCGCCGCCTCGCGGTGCTTCTCAGCCTGCGCCGCCTCGCGGTGCTTCTCAGCCTGCGGAGGAAGGTGGACAGACGCCTGGTTCTGGCGCTGTGCAGCCTGCGTCTTTCACGGTCGCCTCGTTCAATTTCGGGTTCGAGCAGGGCATGATGACTGGTAAGCAGGCGGCCACTCACTGCGCTAACTTCGGAAGGGTGTGCGCCACGATAGTGGAGACCGCTGATGCTGATATTGTCTGTGGCTGCGAGGTCGGTGCGTTCCGTGAAGGCTTTCGCCGAGCAGGGATCAACGTGACAGAGATCCTCAGTAAGCCTTTCGGTGATGGCATTCGCTTCTCGGAGGTCGACAACTACTTGACTCTCTGGGGGTTCCGCGGTGCTTCTCAGCCTGCGGAACTGACTCTGTGCGAAGACAGCAAAGTTTTCAGGCCTCCTAGCGGCCGAGAGATTGATGCTGTTATTTCACATTTTGAGGTGAACAAACCAGGCCATGACAAGTTCCACGTGGTGATCGCCAACATGCACATCGTGTGCGGCAAGAAACCGCCGACCATCCAGACTCGAAAGCGGACAGTTCGCCATCTCCGCTTGCACCTGGACTGCATGGCACAGATTCTCAATGCTTCGGAGCCGCACGTGCCAGTCGTTCTGCTTGTAGTCGGCGACGACAACCTGACTTTCCAGGAGGCGCGGGAGGCTTACCAGCGCCAGCAGAACGACGAGAAGGTATGGGAGGTCCATGCCACTCCGGCCGACCTCAAAGGCGACCACGTGGCGGTCTGCGGAGCAGTCGCCCGTTTCTGCTCCATTGCCGTTGGCGCGTCTTTTACGGATCGTGGCATGCGCAACGACGCACACGATGCGGTGGCGGTTGTGCTCACTCTCCCTGGTGCTATTCAGCCTGGGGAGAGCAAGAGGCGGAAGATTGTCGTCGAAAACGTCTCCGACGCCGACGTCGGCGTACAGGCGGACGCCGAGTCTTCTGTGCATTGGGATCGGTCGCCGAGTTCTACTCCTCCGCTTTCACCGACTTCACCGAGTGATCCCGACTACGTCGAGGATGTCGTTCAGAAT